TGAAAGCAAAGTAATGTGTTTCAGACTCACTGGGGCCTGGATATTGAGTTGTCCTCAATTTATTTCTGGGGCTGGGGCCGCTGGCCAGAGGGCTTGTGCTTGCCAGCTGTGGTGGCCCTTCCTGGCTCCGCAGCCTTGCTCTCTCAGTCTCCCTGCTCCCTCACCCCTCTCCATCTCTCCTGGAGGTTGTCCCCCTTGAGGGGACCTCCAAGCTTGGGGGAGGTAGAAGAGCAGCAGAGGGGCCAAGGGAACTGACATTAAAGGATGCTGTCTTAATTCCATGGCAGTCCTGACGGGTGAGGATAAGCCTTCCCACTTGTAAAAATAAGGAAACTGAGGCACAGGGGGCTAGAGTGAATAAGGGCACACAGATGGGAGTGGCCCTAATCATCCCAAGTCTCCTCCTCCTCCACACCCCAGCTTCTGGCTGACACCCCTGTGAGTGAGCCACCTTTGCCCCCTGCCTTGGGCATGGAATTCTGCTCCTTTGCTGAGCAAGTCATTCATTCACTCACTCACTCATTCTTGCACTGACTCCTCATTCATTCTTTCTCTCACATTCATCCCCTCCTTTACTTTCCCATCAGACACTTGCTGATGCTGACCTACTGTGTCTGTTACTCCTGCTCTCTTCTCTCCCTTGAGTGTTTAGAACAGCAAGAACTTAAGAAATAGCATAAGGCATTGGGGAGACAGGAGGAGCACCCTGACCAGCCAAAGAATGCACACAACATCTGGCCTGAGGTGCTTTGCCCCAAAGGGATGTTCTTCATCTCAAACACTTCTTGACCTCTGTTTTATTTATTTATTTATTATTTTTTAAAGATAGATTTATTTATGAATACAAGAACTGGAATACAGGCAGGAGGTGGACAGGGGGAACGGTAAGAGGGTTTACCAGAGACAGAGTGGGAAACAGAACAGGCAGACACACTGTTGAGGGGAGCAGTGGGTGAGACAGGAGAGGTCTGCCGCGCCATGTGGGTAGCTCCCTGGCCGGGGATCAAACTCATGCTGTAGTGGCTGCAGATAGCTTCATAGTGCTACATCTTAACCCCTTGTGCCACCAGGGAGGCCCCTTAACCTTTCTTTTAACAACAGTATTGGGACCTTCCAGGCTAGTGAAAGATAAGGTTAGGTCTCATTCACTGAGTACCTACCCAGTGCTCGGTGCTCCGGTGGCATTTCCTGTAGCAGGACAATGGGAAGGTAGGTAGGGGTGGTTCTCCCACTTTGTAGAAGAAAACACTGAGGCCCAAAAAGACTGGAGGGGGCCCTACTCACCTCCATCACTCTGCTCAAGTCCACAGAGAGGAGGTTCACACCTCCCCCTCCGTACCTCACAGAGGCCCTGTTCTCTCCTGTTCTCTGCTGTTCTGTGTGCAGAACAGGGTGTGGGGCCCAAGTGTCAGGGCATGATTTACTTTATTTTCATTTGTCATCTTGGGCCCCATCAGTCAGGGAGAGGCGAGTCACCTCCTCCCTTCACCCATGCCGTTTCTTCTTCCTGTTCTTGAGATCCACTTGAGTGGTTGGTCACTTTTTCCCCCACATCAGCCCAGGAATCGCAAACGTGGCAAAGCCTGTTATCTGGCTGCTACTGATGGAAGGCATGAGTCTAAAGCCACGTACACCATCAAGTGCAGCCTCACAAATCCATTTCCCCATGTTTCAGAGGAACTGTGACCTCGGGACAGATGACCATGACTGCCACCTCCTGGGGCCATCCAGATGTGGTGGTCAGTGGCACAGGGGTTTCTGTGTGAGCCCCTATGTCTGAATGCAGGGAGCCCCACAGCCTGAGAGCACCTGGGACCCCTCTCTTCACAGCCTTGCTTCACCTCACGCCAATCCACCTACAGATCTGAGTGTGTCTGGGAGGCCTGAGCTGCCTGAAGATGAATATAAGTGGGGACCTCAGTACCTCCAGGCAGCCTGCTAGATTTCCCCCAACTTTGGAAGACCCCCCTCCTTACTTAACTATTGACCAGCATCTACGACAGCTGGAGGTTAGTGGGGGCCATGCTGCCAAACTGGCTAAAATCAGATATACCTGGGAGCTTAGCACTGGCCCTTCTTTAGCCCTAGACTGACAGCAACTCTGTGGTGCCCCGGGGCCTCAGTTTCCCCACAGCTCTGTGTTTTCTTATGTACCTCAATACATGTGTTGTCTCCTCCTGCTCCCTCCTAGCCCAGTGAGAGGAGGCTTCAGACTGGGTGCCAGCTGCGTGTGAATCATAGGCAGTCGGGTTCCAAATTATGTGTAGGTGAATATAGATGAGTGTGTGTGTGGTTATTTTTTATTTTTTTATTATTTGCTCCATTACACTTAAGTCACATTTTCCTATCCTCTGATCCAGGCTCTAAAAGCATTTTGCGGTATAAAATCTCCCATCATCTGATCCACTCTACCGAAATAAACCAGCACCCCTGCCGTCATCTTCCTTGAAAAGTGCCCCTGCGTCATGCTTGGAGGCTGGCAGGACTTGCCCGCTGAAAACACTTTATAATAATCCCCCCAGCGCCCCCCAGCCTCTCCACTCCCTGGGGGGCTGCTCCAGTTTCTTGGGCTGTTATTACTGGAATGTCAGCTGCTCCATTTACAACCATCCATACAGACTAGCTCTGTCTGTTTTGGGCCTCACAGGCCTCCTCTTAGCTCATCTCATGGAAATATCACTTTAAAAATAAACACTGGTTCGATTCGCACTTCCCTCTCGCCTCCGCTGTGTCTCCTGGCCTCCTCCATTGGCACCAGAGGATCCATTAAACCTCTGCCATTTCCCAGAGTCCTCTAGTGATCACATGTCAGCTGGCTGCCATGTGGTACCTCCAGGGCAGCCTCAGGGGTACTCTGGGGCAGCCCAACTTGATTTCTCCTGAGTCCAGTGGTCATTGAAGTGCCTCTTAAATGTAGCATAGGGGAAAGAGAGCTCTGAAGGCAGACAGACTTGGCTCTGCTGTGTGACCTTGAACAAATTATTTCCCTCTCTGGGCCCCATGAGTACATAAGGGAAGAGTTGTCTCCCTCCTTGGTCATACAGGGTGATGGGTGGTGTTACTTCTTAAGGATTGAATAAAGTGGATACTAAAGGAGAAAAACACTTTTAAAGGTTCCTTGCAAACCTCAGACTTTTAGTGTCCATCTCCATCTTTTAATTCTTTCAAAGGCACCAGAAAGCAACTCAGGTATGCCAGGAAGTTTTGAGTCAAACATAGCATTCACTTGCTATGTCACGAGCGGAGTTGTGATGACTTCAAAGCAAAGTTAGTAATTTAGTTAGGTGGGCCTTGCCTGCCTACACAGCAGCAACTGCAGATTCTAAACACATGAACCCCAGTTCTGCCACTCACTTTGGCATGGGACCAGTGGTTCAGTGTCTCTGTGCTTCATTTCCTTGGCCGTAAAATAGGTTCAAGAATAGAACTTGGGGCCTCCCCGGTGGCGCAGTGGTTGAGGGCTGGGTTGCGAAGCTGCCCGCAGCCTCTGCAGCACTGGTTCGATCCCTGGCTGCTCCCCGGCCACCGGAGGAGGGTCCCACATGGCGCGCAGACCTCTCCTGCCGTCTGCTGCTCCCCTCAGCAGTGTACTTCGGTCCTTCTGCCTGTTCTGTTCCCTGCTCTGGCTCTGGTGAATTCCCTCACCCTCCCGTGCTTCTGACTGTACCCAGTGCTTGTATAAATAAATAAATAAATCTTTAAAAAAAAAAAAAAAAGAATAGAACTTGGTCCCAAGGGTTGACCTAGGGGTTCCCTGAGGCTGGGAGAGAGGTGCACCTGTTTTGTTGTGGTGGTTACATTATGATGTGCAGAAAGCTGGGACGTGCAGCCACACTGGTGACGTTCATTGCATAGCAGTTCTCATCTGGGGATGATTTATGCAAGAACGGGGTACAGGCCAGATGTGCAGGAGGGTGAGAGGATTCACCAGAGACAGAGCAGGGAACAGAATAGGCAGACTGAAATACACTGCTGAGGGGAGCAGAGGGCGAGACAGGTGAGGTCTACTCGCCATGTGAGTATCTCCACGGCCAGCGGGGATTGAACCGGCGCCCAGCGCTGCAGAGGCTGCAGACAGCTTCACAGCGCTGTGCTCAACTGCCTGCGCCACCAGGGAGGCCCCATCTGGGGATGATTTTGACGTCCAGACACCACTTGACAATGTTTGAAGATATTTGGGTTGTCACAACGGGGAGGAGAGGATCCCGCTGGTATCTCACAGGTGGAGTCCCCGATGCTGCTAGACATCCTCTAAAGCACAGGCCTGCTCCCCTGCCCTGGTCCCACGTGTCAGTAGTGCCATAAGAAACCTTGTCCTAATAGAAGCTTTCTGGTAGTGCCATAGTACCCCTCTCCTCTCTAGCCCTTGCCTTGCTTGTCATCTTGATTTATTGGTCTGATTATGTGGCTACTGCCCATCCCACTGATAACAGTGCAGGCTTTGAGAGTTTCTCAAGTCTAATCCATTCAGGCCAGAACTGCCTGTTCAGCCCACCCCAGACCTCTGTCACGGCAGCACTGAGCCTGGCTCCATCAGACTCGGGATCAGGTCCCAGGATTGCCGCTTCCTAGCTACATGACCTGGGGTCACAGGTGCTACCTTTCTGACCCTCCCATTCTTATGCAAATGGGATTGTAAATATCTGATAAATTTAGAGTAGAAGTTAAGACTTGAACCAAGTTCAAGTCACACAGCTGTTACTGTGTGAACATAGTTATCTAAATAGGCCTCAGTTTCTTCACCTGTGAAGTGGATCGAATTACCACCTTCCTCATTTGGAGGTTAATGTGAGAACTAAAGGAGCTGGTCACAAGCTGGTTACTTCTATTGTTACTAAATTCCTCATCCAACAAGTGGGACATTTGGAGCCTTGGGTATGTTCAGATCTGCTGGTTACCACGAGGTGGGCGTGATGGGTATAACTAGTGGGGCAAAGCGCGTCTAACCAGAGGGGTCTGGCCTGGTGCTCCCTCCACCACTGACCTCTGACTCCTTTCAGATCTGTGCCATCATTGGCGGGACCTTCACTGTGGCCGGCATCCTGGACTCGTGTATCTTCACAGCCTCAGAGGCCTGGAAGAAAATCCAGTTGGGCAAGATGCATTGACGACCCTCCTGGCCCAATGACTGAGGACCAGGGGGACCCAGGAGACCACCAGCCCTGCCTCCAGTGCCCTGTCTTCTCCTGCCCTCTATCTGGCCCAGGATCTGGCTGCATCCCAAAGTAGGGGTGGTGGTAGCAAAGGGGTGGCTCAAGGTTTCGCAGCTACCTCTTTTCCCCATGTTTAATTTTAACAAATTACCTGGCCTAAAGTCGTGGTGCCCCTTTTCCAGGGGAGCCCCAAGACCAGAGGCAGGTTGGGAGAGGCTCAGGGATATTGGGACCACTCCTGGAAGGGCTGTCCCTTCTCTCTCAGGAGGACAGCCCAGAATCCATGTTAACCAGCGCTCAGCCAGGCTTTGACAATCTTGCAGCTCCCCACCATTTGGATGCACTAATCTCGTGGTTCCTCCCCCCTACCCTGGGCAGTGCAGCCCTAACCTGGGCTCTCAGCTCTGGACCAGGCTGCCTAAGGTACTTCCCACCTGGCCCCTTCCGTAAAGGATGGTACTTCCCAGGCAAGCCCCTGAGAGGCAGCGGACAGGCAGACAGACCCTCGCTCCTGCTCCATTCCTGCCTACCCAAGCCAGAGCCCATGACTCAAGTCTGTCCCCCCCAACCCCTTTTTCTTCCAAGAAGTAGATGTTCAAGTGCTGGGCAGCCACAGTGGAGACATAAGTCTGCCCGCTGGTCACTGGGTGGGTCTGGGTTCCCCTTCCTCTCTTCACCTTGTTCCTCTAAGCCCCCCACCAATGTGCCTCAGCCCCCGTGCTGTGTGGCAACAGCATCTTGGGTGGAGGGCTGGTTGTGACTAGGAACCCTCCTTTGAGTACCAGGCATGGTTTCTGTCTTATATCTAGATGGGAAGCATCCTTCTCTGCAGCCCTCAAATAATCATGTCTCCATCCCTGGGGAGTCATGCCACCATTGGTTCCAAGGCCTTGGCTGGGGGAAGCAAAGCAGACCCATCTGCTTCTCTCTGTACATCATAACTTTCTAGGCTCCTGAGGCTGCACAGTCCTTAAACATCTCTACAGCCCCGAGGTGACCCACTTCCCACTGAGCTCCCCCAGCAGATGCCACAAGCCAGCATGTTCCTGGCCCATGGGGCAGGGGTCCATAGTCTCCCCATTGCTCCTGAGTTGGGTTCTACTCTGCTGCTCCCCCTCGTTCTTCCCTGAAGTCCTGAAGGGAGGGGCAGTGGCCCGGGCATGAATTCCACCCAGGGAATCTTAGGTATGCCCTCCTGCCCCAGTGAGAGAGCCGCCCGCCTGTTTCCATTTATATCAAAATTGTTTGCATACTTTTGTAATTAAGGAGTGTGTCCAGTGGAAGGATTTTTAAAATTATCTGAATGGATAGCTCAAATCCTCTGCCATTTATAATTTTTGGCTCTGAATTCCAATCAGAAAAGCTTCCCCTTCTGCATCTGAGTTGACTGATGATGTGAGTGTAAACTGCATTTGGTTATTTCTGATATCTGTGACCACTTGAATGGATATTTTCCCTTTTACATGCTGTCCCTCAATTACAGAAAGGAGTCCCTTTGTTGTATGGATATCTGTGCCTGTAGAGGGTGGGCAGGGTGGGGTGGGGACATGTGTGGCATGCACATGAGTTGAAATTTCACTTTTATGCATTAAAAAAAACTGACATAGGGGTTGTTTCCTATTGGAAGAGACACCTCTGGCCCATTATTCTTGTAAACAAAATCTCAAGGGAAAAAATGTTTTTGTTCTTTCCCATTTCATTGGGTTCAGATAGATTAAAAGACTGATTTTCAGAAATATTGCTGTGTGTTCTATCTATTTGACTGTGTTGGGGTTGCCTGGAGGCCAGGTTCAGAGACAGAATGGAATTTAATTCTAGAGGGAGTGTGGAAACGATCTGTGACGGTGATCAGAAAGGCAAGATCCCTCAGATTCAACCCTCCCTTTCTTGAATCCCTACGCTGTATCCGAAGATTGGCTCCATTCTAGCTGGGTCCTTAACCTCTTGGTGCCTCAATTTCCATAGGTGAAAGGGGAGATAGGCTTGAAACCATTTTTATTACTATCATATAGGGCTGTTGTAGAAATTAAATCTATAATACATGCAAGTTAATTATACTAGATCAGAACAAGTTCATGTATGAAGGGAAATAGTGAATGATAAGTTTTCAAAGATGCTATATGGGATCTGTCAGTATTCCCAGGTAGAATATAATCTCTTTGAGAAGAGGGCTAACATTTTCCCACAGATTTGAGCCAGGGCTCTGCAGGTGGGAAGTATTTCATAAATTCTTGACATCCAAGTACCTGGCATTTCTTTTCAACCGGAAGCTCAGCACAGGGAGGTGGACATGGACCATTAGAAATGGACTAACATGGATATTTACCATCCTGCTGTTTGGTCTTTCCAGATCCCCAGGGACGAGATTTCCAAACATCTTGGGGATGAAGGTAGAAGCCAGTCAGCCCTCCCCATTCTCTCTTTAACATCTCTACCATCCTCTCTGATACTTGAGTAACTATGACACTCACAGCCAGCACTCAAGAGAAGTATGTTTATGGGTAGTGAGTTATTGGCATCCTCAACCCTGTTTTATGCCAGTTGTGCTTTATGCTGTAATGTTACGATTTAGTTAACCAATGAAATATGACAGAAAAGTGAAATAATCTAGAAAAACTAAGTTGACAGAGACCTGATAAAGGTGAGTTACCAGCCACTCCTCCAAATTCTATCAAATTAGATGGGAACAAGACAACTGAAAAGACTTGAGGGGTGGGAGGAAGGTCCTTGGAAATTCTATATTCACATTGAAAGTATCTAAGGTCTTACTCCATGTTAAAGAAATCAAACATTGGAACTCAGGTTGTTTTATATAAGGGCATGATTTACCTTATAAGGAAAATGAAGACCTCCAATAGAGGTTTCTCAATAAAAACTTTTTTTTTTTTTTAAAGTGAGCCATGGTGTCTTTTATTTTTTTTTTTAAGATTTATTTATTTATTTATACAAGCACTGGGTACAGTCAGAAGCTTGGGAGGGTGAGAGGTTCACCAGAGCAGGGAACAGAACAGACAGTCTGACGAAATACACTGCTGAGGGGAGCAGTGGGCAGCAGGAGAGGTCTGCGCGCCATGTGGGACCCTCGCCAGTGGCCAGGGATTGAACCGGCGCTACAGAGGCTGCTGGCAGCTTCGCAGCCCAGCGCTCAACCGCTGCGCCACCAGGGGAGGCCCTCAATAAAAACTTTTAACGGTCAAAAGATTGGCAAAGGCATTTTTAGTTGACACAAAACACAGAAGGTAAGCATGCGTCGCTTTTATTTTGCCTTTAAACCAGTTATTTCAATGATCTAACCAGTTACAGATGAGTGTTTTCCTATAAGAGGATTGCAAAATAGGGAGAACAGACAAACCTTTAGAGAAATAGGGGTTCAGACAGCCCTTCTGGGGAGACACCGTAACTGCAGAAGAGATGAAGTTACAAGGGGGCTTCAGTGAGGGGAGTAACTCATATTCTGCACCCCATGCTGCCTGGGGTAGGTGGGTGTTGTAGAGAGGTGCAAAGCTTGGAAAGAAATGGGGTATAGCAATGGAACTCAGAAATGGCAGCTGTAGTAGTTAGTTGGTATTGCTAGATGTCAGGAATTAGGTTTTGATTCCTGCCAGAAATAAAGATACATTTTCTCACTGGGGGAGGTCCCTGGTGGTCCTAATCCCTTCTTAAGAAACCCTTCATTTGCTGCCTATACAGATAGATGCAGTGGCCCAGGAATGTGAGAGGGGTATGTGTGGAGAGGAAGCTTCACCCAAGACCCTGTCTCCTTCCAGGCAGTTGTCTTCTGTCAGTTACATAGTGATGAGGTCATGCACTTTATTCTAACAAAAATCAATTATTTTTATCTTGTAATAAAAGCTGCCAAGGGTTGGGCATTCTCCACGTGCCCAGGAAGGAATGGATGCTCTTTGGGCCTTATCTTTCTTAATCCTCAACCGCAATCATCCAAGGTGGGTGTTACTTCCTTCTTAGGAAGGAGAAAATAGAGATCTAGTATCTTGTCACTGTCACACGGCTAAGCAGGTGGTAAAGCTGAAATTCCAGCTCAGGTCTGCCTGCCTGTAGGGTTATGAAGAATTGTGAGAGTCCCTCTCTGTCCCCAAGATCATTTTAGATATGTCAAAAAGAAAAATAGACCCCCACCCCCCCAAAAAAAAAGGGGGAAGGAAGAAATAGAATAGTGAGGGTCCTTTCATTTTGTTGGTCTTCCTAAAACTTACACAGTCTGCTGAGGAAAGCCAAAGTGAATATTGGGACTCTTAAACAAATATGACAAAATCCTTAAAACATGATTTTAATTATACAGTTAATAGATGATCCTAGTCCCACTGGAGGAAAAATCAGAAAAAAAGCGAAAAGTAGGGAAAAATTAAAGTTGCTCATAATACCACTAATCCCACAAAGCCAACATTGCTAATGTCTCAGTGATACCCTTCCATAAAAAAGAAATGGGATCTTACCATTAATATTTTGTTTTATAAAAAAAAAAAACCTACTGAAGTAATATTGTTTAAAATACTATATAGGGGCCTCCCTGGTGGTGCAAGGGGATAAGTCTCAGACTATGAAGCTGTCCACAGCTACTGCAGCACGAGTTTGATCCCCAGCCAGGGAGGTGACCCACATGGCACAGCAGACCTCTCCTGACTCACCCGCTGCTCCCCTGCAGTGTTTTTCAGTCAGTCTGCTTGTTCTGCTCCCCTCTCTGTCTCTGGTGAATCCTCTCACCCCCCACACCTCTGGCCGGTACCCCAGTTCTTATATGAATAAATAAATCTTTTTTAAAAAATTAAAAAAAATAAAATGCTCTATAGGTTTTGGATGCAAAGCATTATAAGTCAACATATTATGTTCACCACTAAAAGTCTGTGTTAATACTTTGTAGCTTGCCTTTTCTCAATAGATAGGTCTCTTTCCTCATCAGTAGCTATGGGGTAACCATTGTCTTTATTGGTTCAGGGTAACAATCACTTGAGTAGTGGTGGATCATGTTCATCTTCTGGCCCCATCCCACTCACAACCTGTTTTCCTGCCTTTGAAAGGAACCATTCAGAATGTTGTTTACCAGGTTAAATAAAATCATGTTTATAAAGCTGCATAATACTTGACAGTAAATGGTGGACCTAATAAGATTAGCCATTATTATTCATTCATTGAATGAAGTATTTACTTCCTTTTGCCAGGCATTGTGCTAAGGATTCATTTACTCCAAAAACCAAACCAGTGAAGTAAGTACTGTCATTGCCATTTCTCAGATGAGGAAAGTGAGGGACCAAGAGGCTAAATATTTCATCCAAAGCTAAGGAGCCAGGAAGTGGTGGAGAGGCAATGCCAGAGAGAGTCAGGGGTCACAAACTTCCCTCACATCACCTTCTGCTTCAGAATTCAGAAATACTCCCTGCGAGTCCTATGTGCCAGGTACTGTGCTAGGCCTGGGGGCTTCTACAGCAATCTCTTTATATGCTTCCATATGTTGGCATGAGGCAAAATAGTAGCCAATGCCACTAAACCCTTGTTAGAATGACAGTCCCAGGCCATGGTTGAACATGAATACACCTAGATTTTCTTGCTTTGTAAAAAGGCAATCCTTTGGAGTAATGCCCAGTGCTTAACACTGCCCTGTATTTTTGTAGTTACCAAATACCCAAGTGAGAGTTGGGTTCCAGATGACAACAAAACAAGTGTCACAATAAAGAGTATCACACAAATTTTTTGGTTTCCTGGTGCATATATGTTATGTTTATACTACACTATAGTCTATTAAATGTGCAATAACATTATATTTTTTTAAAAGTACACGCCTTAATTGAATGTGACAGACACAAAGTGAGTGAATGAATGCATGAATGAATGAACAAACTTATGGGGGCAGTTGGGTCTGATAAATACTGGAAGGACTGTTCTTAGAAGAACTGTCTGAAATTCTGTGTTCACTGTTATAACAGCATCTTCTCCTGCTTGGCCATGAAGTGACTGATGGCCCTCCTTGAGGATTATTGGAAAATGCTAATATTTAACAATGTCACCACCAAGTGTCAGGAAATACTAAAAACTGGGAGACAGCACAGGGCATGCCGGAGTTGGGCAAGACATCCCCATTTAAATTTCAGGGTGGCCATCTGTTAAATGAGCAACACATATTCTTATCACTGGCATCTAGCACACAGCAAGCACTAAACATTCAGGACTTGAATCAATCGATCAGTCAATCACTGGAAGTCTCCTGCACTGTGGAGCCAGAATATTTTCATCCCCAGGGGCCAAGGAGTGCCAAAGGGTGGCATCTGCACCTTGGGGCAATCCTCCTGGACTGGAGGCATAGGGCAGGCTTGACCTGGTTGGGCTGGGTGGGAACTAGGGCCTGATATGCGTGGGGCCTGGACGACAGGGGCAGGGCCACAGGCCTGGTTGCAGCCACAGAATCCCAGCTGCACTAGCGGGTCTCTAGCTGAGTTAAAAAAGGGAGAGTCCTACCCTAGCTCCAGGCAGCGTGACGCATGCACGTGTTTATATCAAACACAGAATGTTTGCAGTCTGCATTATCAGGAACTAATGGCAAAGAGAACTCTGGTGAATGTGAGACCCTGCCTTAGGATTGTCCTCTGCTTTTACTAGGAATAACTGCTGTCTTTGAGGGCTATTTGCCTGACACTGTTCTGGACACTCCACATGGATGAACTCATTTAGTCTCATAACAAGGCTCCTACTAGGAGCATCCCCATTTCACAGAGAAGGAAACCAAGGCTCAGTAACATTGAGGCATCCCCCTAAGGTCCAGCAACATGAAGAGGGGCACTTGGGTCCAGGTCTGACTCTGCAACCCCAGTACTTCCGAATAGGGCTAAAACACTAGGGGAAAGTTTTTGCAAAGTCAGGTGGTTGGTTCGCAACGACTGTCAAACATTGGTGCGCCTCAAAATCTTTCGGGGACGTGGAAGTGGGGAAGGACGAGGAAGTGAATCGCTTTAAATTTAGATTCCCTCACCCCTACCTGCCAACTGCCTGGTTCTGTAGTTCTGTGATGGAGCACGAAAATCTTCATTTTGAACAAGCTTCTTGGTGGTGATGTGGAAGCAAGACAGCCAATTGCATGTGGAGCAACGATGTTTGTAAAGTACCCAACAATATACCTACATGACCTCTGCAGAGGGCAACGAAGAGATTGGAATAGGAAAGAGACTCGGTGTACCTACTGAAGAATATCAACGCGATTCTACTGCAGGCCCTACAAAAGCAAGTCACTTCTCCCCAGCGGCTCCGTTCTTCGGGGTTTTGGTGGTGACCCCTGGAGCCACGCAGCTCTCTAGGTACCCCTTAGAACCAGGCACTGCGATCCCACTCCGAGCCGCAGGGGGCGCCATTCAGCTTCGCGCCGACTGGCCTGAGGCTCGCCCTTCCCGGGGCCTCCCTTCCGGCCCTGCGCGCTCGCGGCCCGAGCTAGTCCGCGCCAGGTTGGTAAGTTGCAGGCCGGTATTTTCTCTGACTGGAAGCCCGCGGCCTGTAGGGCCCCTCCCCTCGGGCCCGGGACTGCCGGGCTCCCCAGGAGTCTCCGCGTGATCCCCAACACGCCTTCTCCTCCGCCGGGCGCCCCGCCCTCAGTCCGCCTCCAGGCCCCGGCGCCCCACTCTCCACGGCCCTACCCCACCGGCCGGCCGCGCCCTCCCGCGCGCGCCCGCACCCCTAAATTGCCCATTATGCCCTTCCTCCCTGTCGCCTTCTCGAGGGCAGGTCCTCGCCTCCCTCGCCACCACCCCCGCCCCCAGTACCTGCGCGCCGTGGGGAGGCGTGACCTGGGCGGAGCGCGCGCCTGGCGTCCCACGAGCACCCCTGCCCGTCCCCCGCGCCGCCCTTTGCAGACGGTTAT